AGCTAAACCCTTCACTTGTATGACAGTCGCACTGAATTCTATTATATTGACAACAATGTGTGGGCAAAAAAAACTGACATAATAGGTAAAAACGTAAAAAATTGGGGTACAGCAATCAACATTGTAATATAATCTTCATCACTATAAAAACAAATAACTGTTTCAACAAAGAAACACAAAATGGCATATATACAAAGTACATTAGCAAAAATGAAAGACAATAATTGAAAATTGAATATAACAAAATAACACAATGGCGGGATGTATAAGTACCGAGCCACGTCATAAGTATATAATAAAAAATGGACTAAACAGTAAAGGTTAGAAATATACAAGAACAAAAAAACAGGGAAACTTTAACACGTAATTAAGATGATGAACAACGTCAGTACCCAGAATTTATACTTCAAGACCATCATGTATTATTTCTGAAGTTGATACGAAATATTTATCAACAAGGTCTTGGTATCTTCCAATGAACTTGTTTAGAAAAAGGACGAGACGTCCTATGACATAACCTTGGCTCATTAACTTTCTGTTCAGACACTGGTGACGTTTTATAAAGTCTGAGTAGAAGCTGCAAGCTCTTGAATACCAAATGAGTTGGGAAATGTATATCCCTTATGCAGGTGAAGTTGGTATATTGCTGCGAAGGTGGGGGAACATTTATAATATCATAGATTCTGGTATTGAGATGACCGCTTATGTCAAATTCGAGGTATAAGTCTAAAAACGAGGCGGAGAAGGCTGTGTCTGTTGTTTCTTTAATTTCTAGTTCTAGAGGATATATTAATGGAACCCAATCAGAAAAATTTGGATTGTTAATGGAAAGAACATCATCAATATATTTGAATGTGAACTTAAATGATCGGGCTTCTTTGATTTTCTTGATTTTGACAATAGTCTGAAGGAACTCCTACTCATATGAAAATAAGAAGAGGTCGACAAGGAGAGGCGCACAGTTCGTTCCCATAGGAACGCCAACAACTTGCTGAAAAAGTCTACCTCCAAATTCAACAAATATGTTTTCAATGAGAAACTCCTGTATACTGATCACTTGTTCCTCTGTGTAGCATGTTTTACCTTTTTGTTCACTATTAAAAAAATATGCCGTATTGTATCCCAAAGCAATAAATTTATAGCGTATGCTGAAATTTTATATTGAAAAGCATTATGGATTATTCTGTATTCTAAACAGAAAGACCAAATGCGGGCACTCTAAATTACAGCAGCTGGGTAGACAAAATTTTGGATTCATTGTGTACTAATATTACAGTAATATATGGTGCTGATATCATATCATCTATCCTAAGTTGCCAGCTTTAAAATGCCATCATATATAGTTCTATTCAGGTGGAATACCACCTAATCATAGTACGTCACATCCGGTTGAATACGAAAAAGGGTCGAAAAAAAAATATTCCCTTGAATTTGACAGTTGTAGGAAATTAATCCTACATTTCATTGCGGTAAAAACATTCTGAGTCATAAACGTATATCTTAGGTGTTTCAAAGAACCATTCTTTTTTTATTAGGTGTTTCTATAAAACATTTTGGAAACTTGAGGTTACATGGATACTAAACTTGTACACAGGGAAAAAAGGGGTGAAAATTTGATTGGTTAACTTCCAGTGATGGGTATTATCTTATATGCAATGAAATGTAATGTGAAATTTTGTCTGTAGTACTGGACAGGCTAAAACTTTATTTATGCCAAGTATTTCTATATTTGAAACAAAGATAAATTCTGCACAATTTTTGAAAAGAGCAAATTTAACAAAGACTAATAGGGGAAAAACAAAGGTGGTATTACACCTATTATGGGAAGAAACACATGCACCTGTGACCTTGTATGTACTCTCATTTGTTAACATTTCATGCTATTTCAGTGAAATATTGCAAAAATTAAATATTCTGAGTGGATTGAGTCTCAAAACACATTTTAAGAGATAATTGCCTTGAAATATGAATATACCATGAATATTAGAAGACAGAGCAAGCCATACTCAGTGTTTTGGGGAGCTTTTTCTGACTTTTTCTCCTTATTTCATTATTTTGCTATAAAAGAAAACTTTTTCGTAAGTTATACTTTAATAAATATACAGGTATAAGTAAATGAAATTATTTTTGAAGCAGTAACAACAAATAATTCACTAAAAGGGAAACATTTTATGTCCCTTTCTGGAGCGCAGTGTAAATTTAAGTTTTACGTGAGGAGTTATTTTAACCTCCATGGCGTCAGTAAACTTTTATATGGATAGTTAGTTCAGCTTGAATACTTCAATTACTCATTTATTATCACATTTCTTGCATAAATGTGTGAAAGTTACCCCAAAATTTTGATTTAGTGGCCTAAAAAGTTGAAATTTTGAGGAAAAAAGAGGTATAAATTGACCAAAAGGGACCTTATAATGAAGACAAAGCTGTCCATTAGTGGTATTTATCATCCTAGAGTCACCTTTTGTATCATATTCAACTGTTTGTGGGCAGATGAGATAAGTATTTGATCATTTATTGGTCAACACTATATTCTATCATGATGTGGCTTGGTTTGGATTTTTCGATGAAATTTTGCTCGAATCGCTGAAGATGTCGTCTTACATTATACTAGATTTTTCTCAAACTATTGAACTGATTATGACAAAACTTGACAGTAATGCTTGAAATAACCAGTATTACAAAGGAAAAAAATCACATTCAGTTTATTCAACAAAAAATTCTTCTTTAGGTGTTATACCACTAAATCAAAGTACGTCACATCCGGTTGCATACGAAAAAGGGTAAAAATAAACTTCTGAGTCATTAACATATATCTTGTGTGTTTCAGAGCACCATTCTTTTTTTATTTGGTGTTTCTATAAAACATTTTCGAAACTTGAGGTTACATGGATACTAAAGCTTGTACACAGGAAAAAAGGTGTGAAAATTTTATTGGTTAACTTCCAGTGATGGGTATTATCTTATATGCAGTGAAATTTTATGGGAAATTTTGTCAGTAGTACTGGACAGGATAAAACTTTACTTATGCCAAGTATTTCTATATTTGAAACAAAGATAAATTCTGTACAATTTTTTGAAAAGTGCAAATTTAACAAAGAATAATAAAGGAAAAACAAAGGTGGTATTACACCTTAATTGTACAAATGTGGCCGTTGTTACCCGATGCTATCATCACAAAGTTTTTAAGTGTACAAATGTATCCGGACTGCTATATTTTAAAACGGATTAGATCTTGAATTGTATTCGTGCTTTATTGTTTATATCGAAAAATGAGGACATTTTAAAATATTTTATCAATTGTTATCAATTGTTTCAAAGCGATCCTTGTGACAAGTTTCCTTAGTGCAGATCAGATCAGACCAAACGTTAACTTAAGAAACAGGTCTGGTTTAATCGGATTGTCCGCGTCGAAGTTAACTTTGAGGAAGACTGGTGTGGAAGTTAACTTCAGTTAGCAAACATGTCTCAAGTCAACTCCTTCTGCAGGCATAAAAACAGTCCTAGAACCAAGTCATATTTGTATATTTACTAGAGTTTGGTCATATGAGCTGCTAGAGCAGTCATGAAACATATTGCAAGTTAATTATAACTAGTCTAAATGTCTGGTTATAACGTTAAGCTGCTCTATCGGTTAGAACAGCACTCATCTGTATGCCTTATATTTCTAAAAACGATTGAATGCTTATTATGCGTTTAATATACGTAAAAGTCATAACTCTTGTAAAGATCGATGATGATTGAATTGTATTTGCTGGTGTATTCAACTTCATCTGTGTATTAGACATTTTCGAAAAGTCGTCTTCATAAACACTTACACCGACACCGATACCTACACTGACTACAAAAATATAGGGACCGTATCAAAATGTCAAAACATACGGAACGAATGACCTTGTAAAACTTGGTTGCAGATATAATTACATAATTTTTCATTCGGAATCGATCTAGAAACACCGAATATTCTCATTAGTTTTGGGATATTTTAAGTAATGAATTCAGGATATTCCATCTGGTTTCTCTTTTAATTGTCTCCGTTTGCAACCATTCAAACGGAATACAGTGTTGCGGTAGAATATACAATTGGCGAATTCAATTGCTAGAAAGCATTCAGAACATACATAAATTATCTCATTTCGTATGAAGCATGCATATATTAAATTAATGTAAATCAACAGGGTTAAGATTAATAATAGACGTTTTGGTGACTCAGTTATAAAAGAAAAATGATTGTAGTGTAAAATTCCACCAAAAATAAAATGCCAAAAGTAAAATATAACTGCTAAAAGTAAAAACGAAATGCAAAAACTAATAAGAAAATTAAAACATTACAAAAAAAACTAAATTTTGCCAAAATAAAGAAAAATGTTTTTGCCAATCTTCCTAAAAATACAATGCCCCAAAACTTAACTCTAAAATCAAATTTTGACCCCTCTCCCGCCTTTACAAAATAAAAATGCATAAAAAGTAAAATAACGAAAATACCGAGCTTCAAGGAAAATTCACAACGGAAAGTCCCTTATCAAATGGTAAAATTAAAAGCTAAAACACCTCTAACGAATGGAAAACAACTGTCATATTCCTGATCTGTCAAAGGCCTTTCCTTTTGTAGAAAATGGTGGATTAAACCTGGTTTTATAGGTAACTAAACCTCTCACTTGTATGATAGTCGCATAAAATTCCATTATAATATTGACAACAATGTGTGAACAAAACAAACAGACATTATGGGTAAAAATGTCAAAAATAGGGGTACAGCAGTCAACATTGTGTTATAATCTTAATCACTATAAAAACAAAAAATATGTCAACAAAGAAAAACAAAATGGCATATATACAAAGCACATAATCAAAAATGAAAGACAGGAATATAAAAAATGACGATTTATTTTTTCTAAATTAACTAATATACGTATCTTTATTATCAGGAAACGACAAGATACATCGTCTAACATCAGGAGGGACTTCTTCGCTGCGTGCATGTATTGATTTAAGAGACCTCAATATGCTAAATACAAACACTTTTCCATTGGTGACTCATCAAGTGAATACAAATTGACAGTCAGCGGTTACAGTGGAAACGCAGGTATTTTGTTTATTTCAAGTGCTGTCTAAAGATTGAAACAGAGCATACCGCTTTTTCTACAATATCATAGTAACTAAAATCATATGTATGTGGAATATTTAAAATATGACAATCATATTTCAGACGGTTTAACTTTTTTCCTTCTTCTTTTCGTTAGCTTATCATTTCGTACATTGACCACTTTGAACCTCTGCCATTTCGTACCAAAAATAACAATTTCGTGTCCAATATTTACCATTTTGTACCCATGGTCAAAACCATTTCATACCCTATGGACCATATGCATATTCCATTTCGTACATCATAGACTAAATACATGTTTACCATTTCATATAATTGTATATCATTGAAATTTTGTACGAACATCGGTATTGGAGATTTTGTATAACACAAAATTATAATTAAAAAAAAAAAGATCTTTCATATTTCCTCATTATAAGTTTTTTATGTTTTATTTTAATGCATACAGGTCCATTTAACAAGATATATAACTTTTTTTTCCTTTTTTTTTTTCTTTATATTTTATAAATATGTAGGAGTCTAAAGTGCGATGGTACTCTAAAGTGCAATGGTCGCGCTAAAGTGCGGTGGTATACGCTAAAGTGCGAATGTATACGCTAAAGTTCGATGGTATTACTCGCTAAAGTGCGATAGTATAGCACGCTAAAGTGCGATGATGTAACGGGAAAGGGGTGTATGCAATGTTTTCGTTTGTTGCTGTGTTCCTATTAATGAAGTTTTATATATATATGAAGCTGTATTGCTTTGGCCTTAAAAGTGTGTATGTAGTTTGAGAGGAAAATAGTTTTATTAAAGATATTATAGGGTTTTGCAACCACCTTGAATCGTAGAATTGCCGAAAACAATCGGTCTAAACTTTTAAGCAAATAAGCAAATATTGATGCAGAAATGCAATTCTTTTGTACAATTATGGCTACAGTTGTTTACTGATGTTCAAATGTTATAAATCGATTGAGAAGAGACACATCAAGGTAACAAACACAAACTGAGGATATAACTTGAAGTCCGGAAGACGCTTTATTACGTTTTTGAAATCCAATATGTTTGTCATTTTAAATGTCGCAAAGAACTTAGTTTTCGCATAATATAAAGCTTATTTTAATTTACATTTTCACACAATATCAAACTTTAACAATGGGTATTTGCACTCTTATCTAATCTGGTACTTGAGAATAGCTAGATTTTTATATTTAAATAACAAATGGTACCTACAATAATCAAGTATATATTCTAAACAAAATCTAATATTAAGGAGTTTGAAAATTAGATTGATTGTTTTATTGATTTATTGGTGTTTAACGCCACGTTCAGCACTATTGCGCTATTTCGTGGAATGCCCGGAAAAAACCACCGACCTTCGGTAGGAAAACTGACCATTCTAATAAATGCCGGATTCAAACTCACAACCTCAATGTTACAGTAGTTCGACTTCTTAGACCACTCAGCCACCGAAGTCCCTTGAAAATTAGAAGTTAATGAAAGTATTATCAATACTTTAACTAAAATGAATGGAGCCTGAACCTCAAGATCATCATTAGTCTCTTTTGAATTCATTCATATCATATCTAAAATGGGCGGTTTAGAATTTAATTTATGTGATACACTCTACATCATTTAAGACCGTTTAGAGACATAGGTACTGCCATATCATTTTTATTTCAACATTTTTTTTTATCTTTACTTAGAACTTTCCTATAAAACACACGTGACTGTGTGAACGTTAAATATTTCATGTTATGATTTATTTTCATGTAAGACATATGTTTAAAATGTAATGAGATTAATGTCATTGACTAAATTTGGTGTGAAGTTTGCTCGACATTTTGATTATTTTTAGGTGACAACTTGACCTATCATAATAACATAAGGTTCAGTACAACGGATAATGACAATGACACGATTGGAAGTCAAAACTGTGCAGCCACATATACAGGAGGTTGGTGGTTTGGTTCCTGTGTTATTTCTCACCTTAATGGTCTGTTTAAAGGAAAGGGAGCACAAGGGATATCTTGGTACTACTGGAGGAAATCACATGACACGCTTCAGACATCAACAATGATGATACGAAAGAGAAAGTTGTAGAATTACCTTGCAATAAATGAATATTTCATCTTTTTATATTTCTATCATTTTTATGTGTACTTAGCTCTGGTTCCATTATTCAGCTCTTGCAACGTTTGTATTATGTTTTGGACTTTTATTCCAATATCTTGGCCTCGAGCATCACTATATTATATTGGTAGTTAAAATACACGTCTGGTGCATAAAAATTGGAACCATTAGATCTTTACCTCTGCTGGTTAAGTTTTAGTCCCCCGATGGTATCACCAACCCAGTAGCCAGAACTTAGGTGTTGGCTAAAATACGGATATTTATCTAAATTTTCTGTTATAAAATTTTGATAATCGTTTTGCATTAAGGAATGTATTCCCCTCATGTATAACTCAATTATTGACCGGATTTTTACTTTTGGTCCTTTTCGGTCTAGATCTACCAACGTTTGTCTGATGGTTTGGTCTCGACAATCACTGTACAGACATAAATTGTCGAAATGCACATCCGGTGTACTAACCTTATTACCATTAATGATATTTTGGCAAACCGTTATATAAATTGCAGTTTACAAATGTGAAAGACTTCAAATATATTTATTTTTTCAATTGAAAAGATAATTCAATGATTAAGATTGGGATATATTACTACTTCATATAATCATTTTAAATTCGCTCAAATCTCTTATTCACATCTCCGCAAATTAATCCGGCACAAATAGAAAAAAAAATGTGTAGTTTATGGAAACTAGTATTTCGACAGGCATCATTAATCTGGTTTAAAACGTCTTATAGATTAAGAATGTTTCACGATAAGCACAAAACTGTAAAAAGTTTGACAATCAAATGTATGTCTATTGAATGTCATAAAAAAAGGCAGTATTAGGGATTCTTGTCAGTATCATTTGAGAGAAAATCCAATTTAATTTTATAAAATAATTGTTTCATAACGTTCCCCTTTTTATTTAGTCTTACCTGCAACTGGAAAACTTTACTAATAATATAGTACCATCTACTCTATAATGTCATCGACACCCATTGATATGCATTTTAAATAAGTAAGAAAAAAATGTACTGATGTAATAGAATAGATGTTTATTCGACGTGCAAAGTTTAAAATATATACTCCTTATTCTGAATTCCAAGTATTTAATTGATGAAGTTCATATTGAAAAACAAACAAAAAACCACTGGAGTATGAATATGAGGGCTATGCCGTGTCATACATATACCTAATAGACTTACACCGATCGTAATCTGCTTCACAGTCATATATCTTACATTTCATAGTAAATATAAGTAAATGTTATATGCACAACAATAACAGACTGCAATATCAAGCTCAAAGCCTATTGAGTAAACAAAAGCTTTTGTTTAAGAAATAATTATATTTATAGTATAATATGGTGATTAATTACCGTTCAAGTATTGTGCATACAACTTTGGTAATTCTTGATTATTTGTTGGAATTGTTTTATGATCTACTTTTTCGTGTGCTTTCATGACGGTCATTTTTATTGAAATTGAAAAAGAGGTGATATCTTTAATACAAACATATGAAATACGAATTCACAACATGCGTTTTTTTTTCTATCATTAAATGATAATTAAGTTGTTCTTTTATCGCATTCTATATATGATAAATAGTAGAAAAATACATTAATGACAATATATCTGAATGAGCTCTACAATTTTTATTTCGAAATATGTTGATCGCTAGCGTTACCGATAATGATCATTCCAGAAACAAGTGATGTGCTCACATTAAATCGATATCGCACTTTTATGTCTATTTGACAGAAGGTAAAACCTTATACATTTTTAGCTTTTCTAGAGTTATGGCCGTACATGTGCCTGAAAGCCCTAATGGCGTAACATTCTGAAAGTCAGTACCCTTGACTATCATTTTTTATATAAATATTCCCTTGTCATGCACGACCTTAAACATTACTTTCAAGGAACTTTTTGTCATGGAAACTTGTTTCTGGAATGATCATTATCGGTCACACTAGCAATCAACCTATCTAGTTTATCTGGTAATTATTTTGGCCACTTTTATCTATCTATTCATTTATTTTGCTTCAAATTTACTAAACTTACAAGAGACACCAACACGAAACACCTCCATTATAAACTAGCATGGTACACTTTTAACAATATTTTTTCAGATCAGAATGCTTGTATATTGTTAAATTTTTTTGTCTAGTAAACTACATTTCACTATTACATTATTTTCATTTTGAACTATATAAAGATTTCGATCAGACATAATATGACTTATATATATGTCTGTTTCCTTTGGTCTATTTGTTGTCTCTTTTTTTTTTTTTTCCTATTAGACTTTTTGATTTGAGCGTCACTGATGAGTCTTTTGTAGATGAAACCCGCGTCTGGCGTACAAAATTTTAATTCTGGTATCTATGATAAGTTTATTTGACACATTCTTGTTTCCATTCTCAATTCTATTAAGTTCTATCTCTTCAAAAATCATAATTTCTAAATTTCTAAAACTCGAGATGAAATTAAAGACAGTAGATAACTTTGAATTGACTTATATACATAGTTATTAAAGAATATATTTGTTACTATTGAAACGAAAAAGGGAAAAAAGAGAAATCCCGCATGATTAAAACAAAGATTACATCGAAACAAAAGAGATATGTTACGACAAACACAATTACAACATCACGTTCGATAATTAAGGTAAATTTAACATATTTATTAAAAAATGTTATTTTAATACAAAGATAATAAATAAACCCCTGTCAAAAACATCTACTGTCACATTATAGTTATATGAACGGACTGTTGGTAAGCTATAACTGAGAAAAAGCTATCTGACATTTTCGTAAAGTCAATAGGTAATAGAAATAATTCATTCTTTTTTTAAATCACTAAAGGGAAGTATTACATTGTTAGTTTTACCTTTTCCCGCTTGTTATATAAATGTAAAAAGATAGGAAACGAAATAAACCAAAAGCTTTATAAGGGAGGCGTCATTTATTCTACAAGTACTTGTACCTGTTATGTAACTGGATTAAGATAACACGTTAAACAATGGGTGATTACGAATACTTTTATGTATATTGGTTAATCCTTAACTATACACATGTAAAATTATTGCACTATTTATGCTTTATTCCCCACTTGTTACCGTCTGATTTACCAATATGAATTGCTTTTTACACCTGTTGCAGCAGTATGCTTTTTATAAATTTCCATTGCGACTCTTTCATACTGTACATATTTTAGGAAAATGAGAAACGTGCTGTCAACTTTCATTATTTTTGTCGTAGCTTTATTTATCCTTGATACTGGTAAGTTAATCATTATCATGTTTTCATAGTTAACACACAGTGTTATACTGGCAATGATATCCATTTTAGAAATATAAAGAAAACAGAGTGACTAAAATTACCAAGTGAACCGGTAAAAGTAACCACCGCAGTTTTTTTTAATACACATTGATATTCTTATATCACTTGTGATTATCTTACCTTTCATAGACACTGAAATATTGATATGCATTTTACATTTCATACTTGAACAAGCGTTTTCCTGTTACATTTGCCCTCCCATGCCATATTTGCGTTCCACCAATAACCTGAATATAATGTTGGCAAATCGAAATGTTCATGCAAAAAGTGTATCGTTTGGATATTCATAATGTGTACGTATTTTTATTTGAAATATATACAATATCTTTATCAACACCGAGAAAGTTGACATCTTATAATCTACACAGATATCAAAGTGTAAGAAAGTATCAATGATGTATGAGCTAGTAAATGAGCATGCTCGCATTATCATTTAATACGATGTAATTTAGCGTTTGTTTACTTACACACTGATGAGTTTGAGTCGGTAGTTATTCCCACATCATTGTGTAAAGTTTTATTTTCTAGACTGGTTTTTTTGGTATCTTTCTCTTTCTCTTTTTTGTTTCGTATTTAGTGTAATAGAAGTATTACGAAATGGTATATACTCGACACTGAGGTTGACAAATTAGACTTTAAATACGGGTATTGTGTCAAAACACAAACGTGATTTAAAGATTTAAATTACCTGTGTATCAATTGAATCTTGTGTTTAAACTGGATAGTACTGATGTCCACGTATATTTGTTCCTTATAACAGACGTCCCTTTGATCTCCTTATTATAGACAATTTCATTAAAAATATTCCTTATTTTTCGTTAGCTGTCCCTGCCAGACACATCTAACATGTATTGGAAGTGGATTTATAGATATTCCTCTTGGAGAAACTGGTAAAATCTACAGCTTAACCTCAGCAGTGACTTTTTTAAATTTGCTTTTCTTTTCTTTTCCTTTTCTCTTCTTATTTTTGATAGATGAAATCCTGCTACAAATGTACGTTTATTGCAATAAGTGTATTTAGCGTTCATTTAAAGCAGTGGTAATTTTCATGAGTCAGTTTATGATAGCTAAAAGAGAGCATGTATTTTGAAAAATTCAAATAAGCTAATACTTAAAATAGTCGAAAATGCATTTATTTGTTGTTGTTTTTTTTTTTTTGTCTTTTTTTTTTTTTTATAAATATTTGTTTCTGTCTTAAAAAATGTCGGCACATGGATTCATGATATCTTAAAGGTTAGATAGGATCATTCCTTAAACAATTCGTTATGGATTGAACATGCAAAATAGTGGTTTGCTAGTGAACTTTTAAAGTACAGAACGGGTTTTAAATATAATTTGATTGGTTGAGTATGGTTTACAAAATAAATCGTTTTCAAACGGATATTTAAATATTTGAGGAAAAAACAGACCTAGAGTTTCCAGTACACTGATCTTCAATATATGTGTTTTTGTCTCTTTTCAGGAACATGTGGATACCCAAGGAAAGGTTAAATCCTCTCATACTGAAAAAATAAAAAATGAATTGAAATGTTTATTCTCAGTGTTTATTGAATTGGGGATGAAGGTAATTTCACATAATATGGCATCCTTATCAAAACAAAATGCATCTAGTTATCTTGAGACATAAAAATTTACGAACTTTAAAAAATGAATATATTATATACTTTCCTCATTTTGAAAAAGGACATTA